TCTACCTTTCGTAAAACCGTGTTGTAATTTGTCCCAATTGGCATTGACCTCAAGGTCCTTAACTACTTTCTTCTTCAGAATTTTTTCCAAGACCTTGCATATTACAGATGTTAAACTAACAGGCCTGTAGTTACCCGGGTCACTTTTTTCCCCCTTCTTGAAAATAGGAACCACATTAGCTATTCTCCAGTCAAACGGTACCACCCCCGAGTTTACAGATTCATTAAAAATGATCGCTAACGGGCTTGCAATTTCTCGCGCCAGTTCCTTTAATATTCTTGGATGAAGATCATCCGGCCGCCCGATTTAGTCCCATTAAGCTGTTCGAGTTTGGCTTCTACCTCGGATACGGTAATGTCAACCCCCACTCCTTTATTCCCATCCGTCTCGCTTCCACTATTCCTCAGCCCTTCATTAGCCTCATTAAATACCGATGCAAAATATTCATTTAGATATTGTGCCATGCCTAGATTATCCTTAATTTCCACTCCATCTACTGAAAGAGCTAAACATTTAAATTTGGTTTTAAAATGAAGGCTTAGAATTTGCAAAATATCACAGAATGCAGCCAGAGCTGCAGAACGATCCTTAAATCGCAGGATCTGGAACGATTTCTCCCCCCTCCCCCCCCACAACCTGTGATTTCCCTCCCACCCCTTTTCTTGCTATGAAGGCATTTGGTTGTGTGCTTTATGCTTTTGAGGTTGGACTGGTGGGAAGAAAGAGACTAAGCTGTTTCTGTGGTTTGCATGAAACATGACAGTCCTCTTTCCATGCCGACAGCATCCCTGGTGGTTAGACTAGGCAGGGAGGAACTGTGATGATGTCACCTAAGGGGCAGGGCTTTATGAGGCCCTGCTTTTAAAACTCTTAACAGATTCCCTCTGAGAATCTTCATAAGTGACTTTTTTGTTAATTGCTTGTAACTTTTTCACACCCAAATATACTTTCTAAACTGGAGCACTCCAGAATGAGCACATTGACATTATGCATCAGATTTCAAGGTTCAGCCATTTTTGTCTTCTCAGTGTGAAAAGTGGGTAGCAGCAATCAGTTCTACAATGGGGAAACGTATTTGGGGCTTTTGCATAACTGAATGGATTTTCCTTCAGCTGTCCAAACTCTAACTTCGGATATGCCCGCTGCACAAGAGAATTTTTTGAGAAGTCTGATTGAAAACAAGGGGTTATGATTAAAACCAGTTGGCAACCTTAACTATAGTGTTTGCTACCAACCTGGTACTACAACAAACATACAGACAAAAGGGAGAGACATTAGTGATCTTGGATGCCCAACTTGAGGTGCTTTATATGTGCCGGATTTGCAAAGAGTTGAGCGTATTACGGCACCTAAAATCATTAGTGACATCTGGAAATCTTGGCAGCGCTGAGCTGGCTAAGGGCTGGCAGCAGTGGGCTGGATTTCGAGAAGGGAATATGAGGAAAATCTTTGCAAGTGAAATGTCCTAGGCTTGGGAATTCCCAGGGGAATTGCTGGGAGGGCTGGCAGCTGGGCCAGTCAAGGCTAGAATGGATGAGATGTGGCAGAACATCTCCCATAGGGAGTACACTGTGTTGGCAAAGGCTGGACTGGATGATTTAGCATCTGTCTCCAATTTCCAGTACTGATTAGCTACAGGCTGCACTAGAGCATTAGGAGTGGAAGTGGTTGGAGGTGTCTGTCCAGCCCCCACTCGCCCACACCCTGTTTACCTGTTAGCACGTCCCTAGGCCTGGCCGCAGGAGGTGACTGAATCACCACTGTGCCTTGCAGCTCCCTAAGAAAAGCTGCATCAGGAAGGGAGGCATGAGGAGGGTTTAGCCTGTACTAAATAAAGTTAGAAAAATAGCTGTCTGGGGCTGGGTGGCACTAGTGTGAAAGGCGCACCTTGTCTGCTGGGAGACAGCGTCAGAAATAGGAGGAACAGAGGTTGTGTTAGCTGCTGCTCTGGCAGCAGAGGGGAAATCTGTTCTGCAGCTCCTCCTCCCCTCCCCACCATACACACCCTATTCCATTTTTTAAAAGGGATTGAGTCAATTTAAGACTGGCTAGAGCCAGGCGTGATGCAGGCAGAGATTGTGTAAGTCCCCTCTGCACAGCGTAGCCAGTGTGCCATAGTCCTGACTGGCAGCCCCTCTTCTATTCCAGTCCTGGGCCCTGACCAGCCAGAGCACCACAATCCTGACCTGCAGCACCCCCTGCTACTCTGGTCCTAGGTCCCTACACACCCCTGCCAATGTATCTCTCCCTGCCATTCCAGTCCCTGTGGAATTGAGGCTCCTAATCATGGCAAATGGGGTGTGGGTGGTATTTGTGGGGTGTGTGCAAACATCCACTGGGGGCGACTAGGGTGAGATGAAACTCCCCTGTTTGTTAGCTGCAGTACGTCAGGATTGGAACCCAAGGCTCAAGCAGCAGAAGACACCCCCCCCCACCCCCAGTGTTAACTCCCTGCTCATTCTCTCCTGGTGACTGTCCCTTTCTGTTGGCCCTGCAGGATTCCTACAGAAAGCAGGTAGTCATTGACGGAGAGACCTGTCTGTTAGACATCCTGGACACGGCGGGTCAAGAGGAGTACAGCGCCATGCGAGACCAATACATGCGGACGGGGGAGGGCTTCCTGTGTGTCTTCGCCATTAACAATACGAAATCCTTTGAAGATATTCACCAGTACAGGTCAGTATCCCCTGCAGAACTCTTCCCCTATGGCCAGGGCTGCTGGGCTGCCTCCCATTTTAAAGGGCAGGCCTGGCTGGCGTGCTGTGCCGCCTGCCAAGACCAGGCGTGTATGCTGTGGGAGCGCTGGCTGCCAGCAAAGACAATTACCTCAAGCAGCCATTCTCCAGGGAAGGGAAGGAGCAGGCGGCTAATGTCAGTGGCTATGAGAAAATCCATCCGCAGGGGATTGCTGGTGGTCTTGGGGGACTTGGTAATGTAACGTTTAAGTGTTTACGATGACTAAAGAGAGAGCTGATCCCTTCCTATCCCCCTCCCTTCCATCTCTAATTAATGGCATTGCACTGTGAGTGAAACTGATCTCAGCAGCTCCTGCTGTGCAGGAAAGCTGAGGGAGGAAGGGAGAACAGACTCAAGGGTAAGGAGTGGCAGGGTGCCTGATAGGCAGGGTTGCTTCAGCCACTTACTAGAATTACAGAGCACACAGCTAGGGAGAGGCCCTGAAGAGTGTATAATGTGAACAAACAAGACAGACAAAGGGGGGGGCGAGGTGAGTTGCCTGCGGTCACCCAGAAGATCAGTGGCAGAGCTGAGAGTAGAACATAGGTCTCCTGGCTCCCAGACTAGTGCCCTATCCACTGCACCAGGCTGCCTCTCCTGTTTTATGCCCAGACACCCCACACAGTTTGGCGGTGGGAGGGACTAATGCACCCAAGGCGATGGCTGCTCTCTGGTTGCCACCCAAGGAGCAAGCGGCTGGCCCGGGCTGGCGAGAGTGTGATTTTGTGGTGTGGCCCTGGCGTCTCACCGTAACCCAGCTGTCTTACACCTTCTCCCCAGGACTTGTTTCAGGGGCAAGAGGGCTTTTTGGATGCAGCCAGCAAGCAGTCTGTTTGCGGTAGGAATTGCGGGAGGGGCTCTTTGTAAGCACATGTTTCACAGGCCTGGGAGCAGCTATTCCACAGGCAGGCAAGCAAAGGAATGGGAAGCCCCGGAGCACGAGGCAAGGAACATGTTCAGCAAACGTCTGGGGCAGTGAAAAGGTTTGTGACTTCTTGGGCTCCCAAGGATCAGGCGCTCCTAGAAGGAAGTGCTGAGTGACCATGCTCCAGCCCTGAATGCCTAGAACAGTAGTATCTTTGACTGCTAGAAGGAGGTTTGCTCTGCAGGGTGGTGCCCAGCAGTCATTCATGCTGGATGACCTGGAGAGGCTGCAGGAGCTGGAGTCTGAAAGCCAAGCTGCTAGAGTGGAACTGTTCAGACAGTGGCTGACGCACATGCACAAAGGGCTGCAGTTTGGTGCTCGTGAAGGGGGGAAGGGGGAGATAATGGTTACTTATGGGCTTAGCTAAGTAAAGGGTAGGTTGACACTGTGCAAGGCCCTTAACAGCTCTGCCAATGCACCTCAGTCCTGACCTGCAGCAGCCCCCACTGTCCCAATCCTGAGCCCCAGCCCACAGTTCTGCCAGTGCAGTGCAGATCTTATTTGTAACACCCTTTACTATTCCATTCCAGCCAATGCACCTCAGGCCTGATTTGCTACCAAGGCCAGCCCTAGATTTTTGCCAGGGTCCTATAAGAAGTAACACTTCACAGACCTCCTCCAGCCCCTGTCCCCCACGTATGACCAGGTTCCCCATTTCTGTGAACCCATCACTCCCTCCAGTGGTGGTTTTTGTGCATCTGGAAGCCTCCATCCCCAGCCTGTGACCCCCATTATCCTTTGTACCACATCTCTTCGTCGTCATATTCCAGGGGTTCTAGTGATCCCCTCCCATCCATGTGTTTCGGGGGGGTGGGGGAGAGCTGAGGTGGCTCTTGATCTCTGCCACAGCTCCCAGGCGATGGGATCAGACAGGAATGTGGAAGGAGAATCTGGATGAGGGGGAATGGAGTGTGTATGTGTGCAGGGACCCTGGAAGACAGAATCCTGTGCACCTACAATGGCCTAAGGCAGCAACTGCCTGCAACATCCCTTGTTATTCCAGCCCAAGGTGTGTCTCTTTGAGTAGATGAGGCTAGTTATAGAGACCCTGATTTAGCACAGCACTTAAGCATGTGCTTAATTTCCATTGAAGCTGAGGAAAGTTCAGCACGTACATATGTGCCTTGCCGAACTGGGTCCATAGTGCAGTCCGTGGTTTTGCAATGTGGACAAATGGAAACTGAGATGATTAGCCTGTTCACTTGTGAACGTCCGGATTTGAAACCCGGGCTCCAGGACTGAAAGGCCAAGAGGCCAGCGTGCTAATTCGCTGCTTCTCACCTCCAGGGGATTCTGAACATGTTGAATGAGTATCCGAACTTGGGGTGGAATAATGAGAGGGATTCACGATGCCTTGTTTGAGGGGGGGGAAAAGAGTGGCATGTGTGTAGCTTTTTATTTAGACTATACGTCTGTTCTCCCAGCGGGGCAAATAACCAAGGGGCACAGTCGTTGCCTAGGAAAAACACTGCAGAATCCATCAGCTCATGGACCTGAGTATTCTCTCTCTCTCCTTGCTCAGTTCAGATTGGCAAGCAGATCCCAGGCAATGGCTGCGGCATTTGGGCTCCATGTTCATTGCTTTGCCTTTCCATATGAGCGAGTGAGACTTTGTTCCTGCCCCGTAATAGGGGATGTTTCTGTGCCCCTGGACAGCTGTCTGGTGGCTCTGGGATTATGGTACTGAACCTGGCTGTAGTTTTGTTGCTGATGGGGGTTATCTGGGAACAGCTTCCCTCTAAGACCTTGTGGCAGGTCAAAGCTAGGCACAGCCCTTGTTTATCCTGGAGCCAAAGGGGCTACTTTTGGGCTGTGGGCTTTGCCTCTCATCCCCAGCCTTCCAATAACAAACATGCCCCATGTAATCATTTTTAAAATGTACGAGATTGTCTTGGCTCCACAAAATAAATGGACAAAGAATGGGATTTTCATAAAGCACCTAAATGACTTAAAAAGAAGAACAGGAGTACTTGTGGCACTTTAGAGACTAACAAATTTATTAGAGCATAAGCTTTCGTGGACTACAGCCCACTTCTTCGGATGCATATAGAATGGAACATATATTGAGGAGATATAT